ACATTATCGCAATTGGGAAATGTTGGTTATAACGCGGCGGGCGTAAGCTACAGCGAACTAAGCCACGCGTTTCACGACGGTTGCGAATCAGCTTCAGTGACCAAAACCAGGGGTTCGGCTGGGGGAGTTGTACGGTGCTTGACGGGGGGGAGGGGGGACGGGCGGGTATCAGCGCCTGAAACATGCGTAGAGCCTACCTAGGTATACGACGGAGGAGCCCACGGGCAGAACCCGGCACCGCCAGGTTAACGAAAAGTTTGTTGGGAGTCAGATGCCTGCTCCCATGTTGCCTAAGCGATACCCTTAGGGTAGGTTAGGTAGATAACAAGAGGAGCACAAGAGGAGCACAAGAGGAGCATGGAATGGCATGGGACAGCGGGCTAAAGATATGACGAGAACGGTCTCCATTGCGTAAATAACATCGAGCGAGATCGATATACCACCATCTCTATCTGCCTAATTAAGTACCTAACCAGGTAGTTAGGTACCTAGGTAGGGAATCAGGTTTCAACTAAGCCCGCCTGGATACTTATGTAGTACGATAGATAGAGCAGCGGGGATAAAAGCTTAGGGGGCTACAAGCGCTAACCTAGGTAGGCTTCTACTAGCCCTAGGGCAGTACTAGGGCAGTACTCGGGGGCCAAACCATAATATCTGCCTGCCTAAGTACAACCCCAGGACGACCCTTCATAATAAGTCGTATTCCTAGACCTTAGCATACATTCCACCAACATCGAACAAACTACATTCATCGATGACGGATGGGGAATCGAATAAATTACTGGGCCATAGGAGAGCTAACCTATCCCGAAACAGGCGGGGCTCGACGCAGATCAAATCATCAAGAGGCGCTGCAAGGTTGCCTACACCTACGACGCTTGGGAACTATCTTCGGCTAAGTTTCTTCAGCAATCATCGCATATAACTCACAGTCCCCCGTTCTCAAAGGACGGGATTGCCGATGCCCGCTGTGTAATAGTGAGGTCGGCATACGGGCAGGAGCATAGCAAATTTCGTTTCTAAGAGCGATGAGGCTCGTGCCTACATGCGTGTCCCAATTGCCAGCCGAGAAATCTGACGTCGGAAACCCTTCAAGATCCCGAATCGAGGCGACGTTCAGACAGTAATGCATCCAGAAAAGCTAGCTTTCGCAGTCCATGCTGCGGTTGAGGCAGCCGCGGGCCTCTCCTTCATTGTGCATCCTGAAGGACAACTCCCCCGCTGTACACCCGCCGCACGGCTCATTTTGAGGCAGTATGGCGGGCTATTGTTGGCTTCAAGCATGATCTGCTTAATCATCATTGCCGGCCCGGGTTGCAATGCTACCACAACACGGCTGGTGGCCGCCGCGTTAGGGTCATACCATGTATGGCCTTGCTATCGAGCATTCGTTCGCATTCGGAATGAAACACGGCATCGATTTGAGGAAACGTCATTCCTTGGCGGGCCCCCGGTACACCTTGTAGTCCATTTAGTATGTTTGGGCCTGTTTCTGTACGCGGCGATCGCGGGTGCGTAACCTTCCCGAGAGAACGTACTCGAATCTCCCTCAAACTTATCAAATGAAGACCAAACAGAATGGAAGGTGTGAAAAATGAGAGGGTGGACGAGGTTTGCCTGCTCAGCGTGGCTACCAATCGAAACATCAACTCGTCGTCGAAAAATGACTGGACTTATTACAATTGACAGTATCGCTCCTAGTGTAGGCCCTTGTGAAGTATCTCCACGAGCCGTAAGCTTCTTCCTAGACTAAGCACTAGGCTACGCGCAGGGGATACAGTATGACTACATCGCACTCGCTTCTTCGCTAGGCATAAAGACCGTTGATCATTGTGATACCGAATGCGTACACGAAAGCGTGTTTGCCGAAATGCAGCCCGAGGCCACAAACGAATCGAGGTAGTGCAGTACCGATGTTACTCCCGAAGTCTGGGAAGTATCTGAACACTCGGGCAATCCTATTTTCGGGGAATGGGGGGGGGGAAGGATAGTGATGTGTAAATGATGTGTAGAAATTATCCTTTTTTTCTTGTTCTAGTACATGCCATATATGCCTGCCGGCTCATAACGCAACCTCACCTACACAGAAAATTACCAGGCACCGTCGTATATATCTGTTGTTAGCACCCGCAACTAGAATTGAGCCTGCCTCTTTCTGATAACCGTGTAGCAGTGAGACAAAGACGTTAATATAGTGGCCGTCATCGGCATTACCCTTCACCCGTGAACATCAGCACTTTCAATTTGATGTGAAGGTGAAATCTCTTGGAAGCGTGTGGTGACTGCTAAATCTCCAAACTGCAGAGTAGGTGATGAGATTCACTATCTATATTGACTAGCTCCTTTTCTCCAAGTCAAGTGAAATGCCCCCAATTGCCGAGCAGGGCCATACCCCAGAGCCCCTAGGCTGTCGTAGCTTCCATACGGCAAGCGGCCGTCATGTTCGTTCCTATTGTTTCGGGGCTGGACTCTTCGGTTCTGTCTTGTCCTTAGGCGTTGAAGTGAGGAATCCGATAAGTCCATGGAAGGGCTTGCAGATTGAACTAACAATACATGTAACCCAGTGATCGGAGTGCCGCACTTTGTTTGGCTCGTAAATCAATTCCGTTTTTTAGGACGCCCCTAGTTCTCGAACTAGCTTCGCCAATGCCTCTTGTTTCCAAACCACACCGATTCAGAATTCGAGGTGCTTCCAAGCCTGAGTAACACTGAATGCGTCTTGTCTACGCCAAGAGGCGTTTAGGTACGGCGCGAGATGAACCCAGAGCTTGTTCTCAAACAACAAGACCCTCACACCTCCCGGGCTCGCCAACAGATAGTCGACGATGCCAATAGCTCTGTTACTGCAAGATACCAGAGAGCCGGCGTCCGCCTGACTCAGTCGATTCAAGTCCCAGTCAACGGGCACCCTGATTTCGCCTTTATGGTGAGTACAGTGATCAGGGATCGTGGAGTTTCTCCCTTCTTGCTCCAGGTCGATAACGAACTTAATCCGATAGGGGGGTTGGTCCCCAAACCCCCTATCCCATTTCCCAAGAGCGAGCTGGACGGGTCCAGTTCCCGATGGCGAGGGTTTGTTCATTGCCCACTTGTTATTAATAAGCATCGGGCGTCGTGGACATCGTGGATCCCGGCAAGCTTTGAAGGTGTCGGCCACTTCAATGACGATAAAATGCATGTCTACGGATTGGTAAACCACCCGGCCGAGCCTCATACATTCCTTGATTTTCGGCCCTCTATCGGACGCATCCCGCGTAGAATCGGACCAGGTCTCTCCGTCTCTAGTTCCGTCGACCGAGCTAGCTACGAGGCCGACATTCGCCGATATCACGTATAACCTTCCTGCTATCTCAACAGCGCAGCTTGCTACACGCGTCAGGTACTTTGCGATGGGGCTAATCGGTTTGCCCATAGTTACGCAAATTCGGCGAGGGAAGCATACACGCTCCTTTAGGTTGGCGTCTCCTTCTTCGTCGGTGACAACAATCCAAGCAGATGCAACAGGAATATTCTTGTCGTCGATCCAGACATTAGGAAGCAATGGATGTGGCTTGCAAACGTCCGGCATACTGCTTTTGTGATAAGCTGTGGGCTTTTGGGGGAGGTGTGTGTGGTGCCTATAGTAGTCTAGGACTTCACAAACATAGAGAGGGTGGGAGACTAAATTTCAAGGACTCAGTGCTGCTAAATATATATAATTGTACGTTTGGACTAGCATCACCTAGTCAACCTCACCTTTATCTCCCTGGTTTCGTCCAGGCCATGATCGGGAGTCAATGAGCTATATAACTTGGGCGCGTAACACACTCCTCAGATCACATAGCAGCTAAAAAGAGAAAGTTGAGCGTTTGATATATATACCCTCAAGAGCTGGCATAGGATTGAATTAGCAGATCCTACTCGGTTTACGTCTACAATATAATAGAATCTCAAGCAGTACTAGGGCAAGGAAGGCGGATTCCCAACAGACAAACCTAGACTCCCTCCGTGCAGTAAAAACGTCATCGGCCGGGTCTTTTGTCACCAGAGTCGAGAGGCGCAGGGATTCCCTACACATCTTGTTTACTCGATTATGTGACCCTATGTAAATTTAACCCCTTGCGTAACGCTGACGCCGGAGGGGTTATATTCGAGGTAAGGGATAGTGGTGCGCCTATGTAGTCGGACTGGGTATAGCCATATAGATGCAACAGCATTATCCATCATGTGAAGAAGCAGCGTGAAAAGGCCACACTTGGCCCAACTACCGCCTACACTACGTACCCCTTACCTCGCTTATTAATCCAAACGAGCGAACTACCCTTCAGGTGTTACCCGGTGTAGCGGGTGGCAGCGAAATCTAGCCGTCACTTTGAGTGACTCGAGGAAGTCATGCTCTTCGATGTGTACCCCTTAATATTCTATCAATCTGATAGTTTGAACGGTTGTAAGTCTTGTCATTTGGTGCAACAGGGCAAGTATAAACAAGGAATGGGATTTGCAACCTGCCCTACTAACGGTAGTCGTATGCTATAGTTATTGTCCCTTTAAGACCTTAGTATTACCTATCTACATGTTTAATATCTCCCGCCTAAATTATGTATGGTTAGTTAGAAGATTCGAAGACTGGGAATTCGATGTTACTATTTTTGGCTGAACGGTGTTCATGACTAGAGCGGAGGTCACAGGATAGATTGGCTAGTAGATAAATCTCATACTCTAAGACGCTCTGGGGTCAATGCGCCCCGCACCAATACAGTTCTGAGAGATATTGTTCTCGATGTGTTTTACCAGCGGTAATTACCAGATGTAGCAATTACTAGTAGAGTATCTCCGTTCATCGAGGTGGTGATATATACGGTATTTTAGATCAACGGGTACTGTGTGGAGTGCCCTTATACTACTGTACACTGGGGGGTTTTTTTTTTTTTTTTGGTTTTTTTTTTTTTTTCACACTCCGTTCCATGGCCATCAACATCAGCTGTTTTAATGTCCAGAGAAAACATCTTCTCAACAGACGAGCCCGCTTGGCTAAGTGGTATAGCGTGTCACTAGTACTTCGAGGCAACTCCTCGTGCTAGGTGCCATGACAAGATCAGCGGTTCGATTCCGCTAGTGGGCATGTTTACCAATCCGAATTGGTGTAGTGGTCAACATTTGACGCTCTCAACAACATCATCATCACCCCGATGTGATGTCGAAAGGTTCCGTCAAGCCCGGGGTTCGATTCCCCGATTCGGAGTAGAAGAATTTCCTTTTTTCTATATTTTTTCTATTTTGCCTTTTCAACTTTTCTTTTCCCCTGTCCATCCCCCCTCCTGCCCCTCTCAGTTTGTTCTTAAATCTGTGGCCGGCTCAAAGCCCTAGTTAGAAGGGGGCCGCTACACTTAACTAATTCGGGTAATATCCGTAGACCTTCTTGGAAACATTATAGCGAATAGTACCCTAGCCTCTGTACTCTCTCAGCTATGCCTCATAAACGGCTACCACGACACGCGTATGAGGTGGCGATTGACGGCTTCAAGATATTATATGATTATCATTTCGGTGCATTGCCTTGCCGGAGTCTAGACTCACGTCATAGTGCTGAGCCCCATTAGTCAGCGAAAGTAAATCATCTTCCCATAGAATGGCACGCATGTGGTCATTATCACCCGCGGAGTCGTCAGCGGACTCAGCATTTGAGGCAATCTCGTTGCGGCTCAACGGTGGAGATCTAACATTCTCAAAGTTCGAAAACCTATAGTTAAAAAAAAGAAGGGTGATCATTCTTTTATGTAGTTTAAGTTCACATAGTTGAGTATTTTTGGCTGGGTCGTATATATGCCTACATTCGCTCATCGAACCGTCAGCATACAGCCGTCTCATTAGTAGATCGAAGAAAGAAAGAAAAGGACGGAGATGGTTGCTAATCGCGATATTTTCTATAACACTATGCTCGACACTGATGGCGAGGGTTGGCTTCGAATAGCCGTCGGCGTTGTTCTTGCCACCGACAATGAGACCCAACCTCCACCACCAAATTAAGTATCGCAGCGAATATACGGCCGATACGTGGTCGTCCGACGGAGCTCGGGGAGCCGACACGAGTCGATCCGAGTTAGAGTAAGTCGAGTTCCCTAGCTTTCCAGCGACAACGCCGAGACGTTTGGTATCCTGCACTTTCGGAATATACAACGGAGGAAGATGGCAGCTCTCGCTACTTGTGTACGGCGCAAATAAATGTTGACGTCGATAATGATGTCCACGGTACGGTCAAGTATGTCAGGCCAACAACGAAACGCTGGCGGCTGTGTTCTAGCAGCTCGGGCTTTACGAGTAGCTTAGCAGTGCAATTAGGCGCCCAGAGTACAGCCAGATAAGGAAGGCCGAGACGGCAAAATTCCGGGTCAAGGACGGGATGGAGATCTGGTAGGGACAACCGTTGATGGTCCGCGAATACTCCGAGAAAAGAGGAGCCCAAGTTCAGACCCCTGGCGCCGGATTTCAACCAAGCCAGGGAAATGGGCGGCGCCAACAGCCCGGTAGGCGCCGTGTAGCACCAGCTCCCCCGCACCCCTCAACGCCCACAATTGCAACGGCGGACTCGGACGAACCAGGGGCGGCGAGCTATATAACTCCATGGAAAGGCCTGGCTCTAGGACGACGGCCGATTCCTGTTTCATTCGTTGCACGCTATACCTACGTGTGGCGCCGCCGGGACGGGATAGTCATAGATAGCACCAACATTCTACTTTGTGATATTAGTGTAGGTGCGCGAAGTTCGCAAAGACTTGCCTAGAACAGGCGCTGCGACGGGGTGACGGCCAAGACGTGGTCCTACTACGACCCCTCGTTAAAAAGTCGTGGAATGAAGGCATCCGGTGGCTTGTCGACAGTGACAATTTGAAGAATGTCGTTTCTCTGTCTAGAAATGGTAAATCGCTTTATGAGGGATAGTCGAAAGCTTGGCGTCGCCTGTTTTTAACGAGAGTGAAGAGCTTCTTATTAGCCGTATTGCCGAAGGTGTTCAGAGGGGATATAAGATTATGAAAGCTGGTCTAGCATCACCGCACAACACATGGCAAGTCCTCTAGAAAATTGGAAAAAGGCGATTTAATAGGGGTTTAAGGATATGGATATATATATACTAAACTTAGAACGAAATAGCACTTATTGCGATAGATCGTAGATCCAATAAGGTATAACCACGCAATAACGCTACTAAAGGCTCTATAATAAACGACTACTATTGCGTCTCATGAGTGGGTGATTTTTTCACCCTTGACCTACGGCCCCGTTAGCGAACTGGGTTTTAGAAGGATTCCTACGAGTTTGACGTACATGCTCCTGGGTGTTATAGTGAACATGACTCCCACTATTTGTTCTCGCGTAGATTCGTAAACCCTTATCATGTGAGAGCAGTAATTTCATGATTGTCAGTCTCAAACCGCCATTGAGCTCCCACTCAAAAGAGTTGCCCCAGAAATATACGATGCGTTCATGCTGGTAAAAGGGGCGACGGGTGATGATTGGTTGGGGACGGACTAGGCTTGAAGCTGTTTGAAGATGATCTCATTGGCGCCGTTGGGCTCGCAATCCCAACGGCTCCTATCATAGAGCCCAGCAGCCTGCAGAAACGCCTCAAGCCGTGCGTCGGACAGGGTAACAGCGGCCCTCCGGATTCTCAGTTCCAGATAGTTTGAGACAACAGGCAAAAGAGCCCTGAGGTACCTATGCCATGACTCAAGATTGAGGTCGATGAACATAATGAGGAAGCGGAACCTGCTGACGTCTTTGCCGAGGATGTGGAGCCATTTTAAGCCGATACTGCTCGTATAGACATGAAAATGGTTCTTGAGTAGAAAGACATCCAGAGCCTCGGAACGGATTTGCCTGTTGGTGCGGAAGAGAGCGGGCAGGGGTCGATCGAGGACGAAGTAGTCCTGTGAAGTGTGACCCCACTCACTCCTTACGACGTACTCGTAAATAGCATTGCGGATCTCTGCTGGCATGGACAGCAGCGGCAGCGTATGATTTGGATTTGGAATCGGGAGTGGTGAATCCAGAGCCATGGTGAGTGAGATGAGATGGGATGAGGTGAGCTGTTTGTGTGAGCTGTTTGGCTGTGGGTGACTAAAGGTGCAGGTTAGGCGAACCAAGCAAGACGGACGGGATGCAGGAGCCAGAGGAGCCAGCTAACGGTCGAGAAGGTGAGGCGAAATAGACGGTGTGCGGTGACGTGTCGGTGTCGAACCCCTCCGACGCCTCCGACGCGGAGTCTGGGATCTAGGATCTGGGATCTGGGATCTCTGTCTGGGAAGCCTAACCTACTAGGTTAAGGCACTATCTAAGCAGAGAGATAGATACATACTAGTAGTAGATACCTAGGTAGGTGGAGGATTCCAGTTGAAGTTCTTCAAAGGAGTAAAGGCTCTTCGCCTATTAAGATCGGATATGGGGGTTTATGAAGTTAGAGCAAAACTTTTTCGAAGAATACATATATATACCTACTACCTAACTAGTAGGTACACACACATACACGTACCTACATACCTGCGTATGTACATACTTGTAGTAAACAGCCAAGGCACCAAGGAATGCTCGGCGGAAGGTCGCATGTGACGATGTTGTTGTGTAAAGTACATCTGTACCCGCAGTGCTAGTCTTCAGTACATCTAGAGGTACGTCCACAGCCACATCCACGGGTACGCTGGTTGGTGAAAATACACTCCACTCGATCCATCAGGAGGTACCTACTGAGTGTACATGTACCTAAGCTTTTGAAACACTGCGGGTGGTGCGAAGATGACGTTAGCGTACCCTACCTAGGTAGGTACCTACTTAGTAGGTTAGGTATTAGTAGGCGGAGAAACCCAGGCAGAACCCAGGTTCTTTTCAGCCCAAGCAGACCCCAAGGTTGGTTCCTACATGTGCCCCCACATGCACATAGTGGATACTCTTGCTGCCTCCATCGCATAGTGGTTACTACGATAGTAATGGATACACGCATTCTGATCGATATAACCAACTAATGTTTCATGCAGGTACCTGCAGGTCGCAGGCAACATAAAACTTTCCATATACTAGTAATGTTTCCTTCTAGATACCTCATAAGCTCCCTAGCTAGGAAGGTATACTGGCCCTGTATGCAGCCTACGTACGGTACTTCTTGGGTATAAGCGACTATCTCCCAGGGGGTGGCTACTAGGACACTGCTACTCTGACGTTTGTTTGATATCTTGGTTGTCGCCAGAGCCCAAGGTCCCTTACCATGATTACTATGACCAAAAACCCTTGTAACATAGCCACTAGGCCGTCCTCCAGCATAACCTTTTTATGCTATAACATTTATGACGGGCGGGATCGCCAAAGGAACGAGTGATAAGAGAAGATGCTTACGATCACGCTCTGTTCCGTTGCCAAGAAAGACCGTATATGAGAGCTGCTGTCTTCTGTGTTTTGAGGCGAAGATGGCCGGGAAAGCGGCTTGTCAACACAACGAGTTGCTACTGGAATGCTCGCCGTGGGCCGAGGAGGCGGGATTCGACCGGCCTAATGCTGGTAAAAGACTTGCCGCGGCGACAAAAGGAGGCCGCAATCCTCTGGCGACGAAAGGAAAATCAGCGAACGCGGTTAAGAAACTGAGTCAGCAGGTAGCTGAGCGACTCGCGCCCTCGTTTCCCGGCCCTCTTCTGCTACCCAAAGACGAGCTTAATTGGGATCCTGACTACCCGCCCCAGTCGCTTCGATCCTGGCTCAATGAAGTGGAACGGAATAAGCTCACGCCCGAACGCAAGACGCTCTATGTAGCCGGTCCGCCAGTTGTTATGCCAGGTGTCAGCTTCATGTATGGTTGGGAGCAACCAACAACCCCAGCAAATGAACTCGAAGGTTTTGAACCGCCTTCAACCCAAGCGTCTCTGGAGTATCTAAGCGCATTCTACTACGGCCTTCCTGTCAAATTCTTCCCACAACCGCTGCGCTTTGTGCTGTGGACAGAACCCCCTCAGCGAGCCAAGTCGAGAAACAGTCATGGCTATGTTGGTCTTGCGCGCGATGATTACTGCACTCGCATTCGTACTCGGGAAACTCCGGATAAAAAGTTTAAGAGACAGTTGAACTTGAACGATCTGCTGGATG